ACGCATCTTGGCTTACTGGATTCTTATACCACTACACAAGTGACAAGCAAAAGTTAAAGGCATATCAAATCTATTATAAAAAATTACAATACTCTTGAAAAGTATGCAAGATACAATGCTGAAACTTTAAATAATGTATGAGGGACCAAATACCGAGCTTTTTTCTTAATTTTGAAGACGGACAGTTCGATGCAATTGGTTGATATTTGTCTACTTTTTTTTCGTTTTCTCGAGTTTATTTTTCAATATTTTGAACTCGCCGTCGTTTTAATCGTACGAGATTTCGGAAACAGACGTATACTATACAAAACATTTAGCAAAAAGGTCCAGGGAATTTGTATTTCTTCGAAAAGAAGCTGGATCACGTGACCTACTTATTTGAAAAACTCATGCAGCGATGAATATGCAGCCATTTAGCACATGCTACATACTAACTAGTCTAAGACAGTTTGAAACATAATTGTCTTCACTTTGCGTGCTAACTTTATAAACAGTTCAGCGCATTTAGGTATCAAATATATATTTTTATAAACTTTAGGGCTCATCTGTGGTCGTGTAAGAATTTCAGCTCTAAATATGTATACAGAAGAGTATGAAAAAATGTTGAAAAGAAATGGTTTTCTTCGCAACGAAAAATGATGGACTCATCCGCTTTATCTTAAAATGTGTATAATAACTTAAGTTTTTTGAATATCGTAGCAAATCTGTTCAATTACTCACAAATACCAAATGCTTGAATTTGCTTAGAAGAAAAAAAGGTAACCCTTCGTTTTTCGGATAAAAACAATTATCTTTCGGAATGACTTGTCATTTATGTCGGCAAGGTAAACTTGTGTATTTTGCTATAAAATGCCCTTTGAACGAACCCTGTAATATTGATCAGTAAACTAGTAGTGATGGCCTGAAGACAGGTGTTTTGGGATAAACAATTGGAAATTCTCAAAGACTATTTGACCAATCGACTCCAATTTTGTTGTGGTTACTAAAAAGTATGAAGCCTACGGATATGAAGAATTTCAAGTAGTTGCGTGGAATTATCGTCGCATTAGCAGCAAGTGCCAAAACCTGCATTTTGCCTTGTTTTTCGGCCATAACTTCTTTACTATCAGACGGATCTTTTTAAGTGTGATCTCATTTTGTAGGTCTCATTAATACCTAAAAATCTTATCTGTAGAGTGTTTTCGTTCCTGCCAACACTTTCGATTGAATTTCAAAAAACACGTTTTCTCATTCTTTGTTGTCGAATAAAAGGTTTTCTCACAAAAATTGGTGTACCCATTTTATGCGTCTATGTTTAAAATACCCCCTTGAACAAGTTGCATCAATAAAACCAGACTTTACAATTATTTCGCAAACCAGGGGTATTTCCGTCTAATATGATTAGACTACTATATAATGTCAAAAAACCGATAAAATGTCAATCTGCAAATTAAATATACAAGTTGTGCCGGATCGTTATGTTCAAATTTTGGCAGCGTAAAGTACACTTCTTTTCAAGTAACAAAAACGCAAAACTTGTATATCCATTCTTACTTATTTCAAAGTTACACGGTCATGAATGTTACTTAAAGATAATACTAAAAATAAAGTCGTAAAGTAAATAAAAACTACTCCATTTTTTTGTCGGAGATCACAAATAAAAATGCAACTGTTTTATGATAAACAAGGCAGTTATTCTCGGAACATATCTTTGCGTGTACGTCATTAGTTATCGCAATCATACGAATCAATCAGCCGTCAAAACAGCAACTAAGAATTATTGACATACAAGCGATCAAGGATAAGTGCACCTCCAGCTTCTTAATGAGTGACGTTTTTTATCAAAATGCCATACCGATTTTCTTCTGAAGAGTACGCAGACATGCATTTTGCGTATGACTACTGTAATGGCAGTGCTCGTCAAGCAATTATCGAATATCGACATCGGTTTGCAAATAGAAGCATTCCTCGTTACAGAACATTTGTGGAAGTACACAGACAATTTCTGGAATGCGGACTGCATGATTATCTTTTTGATCGGGGGCTGAACTTGCCAGCAGCCTTGGATCAACAAGATACTGTTGTAAGGGATCCAACTATTATATATTAACGTTTGGGCTGCAGTAATCGATGACATGTTGATTGGTCCTGTTGTGGTTCCTGCAAGGTTAAATGCGAACAGTTACCTTCAATTTCTTATGGACGAACTGCACGGACTTTCCGAGGATGTCGCACTGAATATTCGCCTAGACATGTGATTCCAAATGAATAGGGCTCCACCGCATTTCGGAATTGCTGTCTGACATTGTGTTACCGTCATCAATCCAAAACGGATTGGTCGAGGTGGTCCTGTTGCCTGGCCCCCTATATCACCTGATAACAATCCCCTTGATTTTTATTTATCGGGGTACATGAAAGCTTTAGTCTATGCATAAAGTTTCGAATACAAGGGAAGAGTTATTGGCGCGTATTCAGCAGGCTGCTGAACATATACGACAAACGTCATCTGTTGGCTTACGGGAGTTAACAAGGAGATGGACATGCTGCAAGTCAGTTCGCCAGCATGCTTTGTTGGTTGCTAAAGAATGCCAAGGTAGTATGAGAATATATCTCTGAGAAAATGTGACAGAAAGAAAATTGGTTGAGTAGCAGAGTAGCATGTAAATAAAATTGGTGATATTTGCTATGTGAATATGCTGCGAACGAAGTACGTATATCTATTAGCTTTACTAGACGGGTTATTTGTGTTGCCCTTTCTGAAGAGAGTTTATATTCAGAGCTATAAATTACGATATTCCCCGGTTTTTTATGTTCTCAAAAATAGTGAGAAGCATTATGGGAAATCACCACATCGGCCGCGTATAATAAGCCACATTACGGAAAAATTGAGAATGACGCATCAGACAAAAAATATTTTTGCAGTGCCTCATAATCTAGGCGCTGATTTGTGTTTTCTACTCGACATCGCAAAATAAATTTCTAATAAAGTCAAATTACTGAAAATAAAAAAATTGTAATGTGAAAAGTAGTAACATCTTTACATTTCATAAGTATTCCCACCTGTAGCCTACTTTCTCTGTCCTCTGTTAGTTGTAATATACTTCACAAACCAGGGATTCTTTTATCTGTTTCATTTTTGAAATTCAGTAAATTTGCATATGTAAAGTGCATTTAAGACAAGAAACTAAGGAGAAGTATCATCAATAGAGGTTATTAGCACACAAATTCTCACTAAACAACTATGCACTGCCGCTTCGCCAGTTTCCTTCCAGCTATAGTATACATTACACCACTTACAGCTAAATTCTCCAATAATGCCATATCTTAGGCAATACGCACAGCTACACAACGAGTGCACATCAAGTAAACAACAGCTAGTTACAAGTTGAAATCTCATAGGAACACCTACATAATACCAGAAAACAACTATATTATGAAAAAAAAAACGACAATATCACTTTTCAAGATACGTAATACCCCTGCCGGAAATTCAGTTATACGTCATCTTACAATGGAGGAATGCATCAGAATTGTGGAAACGTTTATTCCCATTTTCACAGCAAGCGATATCACAATTATGGGCCGATTGCCCCAATTGAATAATATGCACCGTTCTTTGAGTAAGATGGATAGCCATACGACTTGAACTATTACAGACACGTTTCTCTAATAATGGTGTTTTGTGTCCGATAATCTGCGAGATAATGCAGTCTAAGCACGATTGACATAACATTTGTTGCAAAAGTTACCGGAAGTTTTAGTCGACAATATTTTCCTAAAAAGTTTGGAACTAACTATTGGATCAATTAATTCGTGGTGCCAGAGAAAAAGGGGATAAGTCAAAATTTGTTCAAAATAGGATAAGTTCAAATTCAGATTGTATATTATGGGATCTTTGTTACGGTCAAAGTGAGGTATGTTACTTATTCAAAATACAGCAGTGAAGTAATGTTTATAATGAGATAAGTTGAATCAGGTCCATGAAAATGTTCATGAGGAGGTAAGTTAACCTTTCCGTACAAAAATATGAGTTGTATCGCTCCAGGACAAAACAACAACAAACTCGACTTATATTATTTCGCCCGTGATATTTTATAGACTAGCTACTTGTCAAATCATGTCGTTGAGAGTAGTGTTTCAAATACACAGATGATGAGATCAGAAAAGTACCTGCAGGACAGAATAAGGATTCGCACATTGTTGTAATGTATTTTGCCGTATTAAAATCCCATCCAACAGTTAAAGTGACCAATCACAAATTTTTTGTTCCCGGACATACTCACATGGAATGTGATGGGGATCATGCTCTAATTGAGAGAACAAGAAAACGTTCAGAGACGCCAATCCATCATCCACGAGATTGGTATCAGCTGGTTCGATTGACTAGGAAGAGACGCCCTTTTAAAGTTGTTGAAATGGATCAGTCCAAATTTTTTGACTTTGCAAAACTTTTAAAAACTGAACTACAAATGTAAAAAAAGATGAAGCTGGCGATCCATTTTGTTGGCGTAAAACACGAGAAATTAAGGCTGAGAAGGACAACATAGGGATCATGTATTTCAAGACAAGTGTCACCGACAATTGGAAACACTTGTCGTTTAGAAAACGGGGCGCCCTGCCGAATTTAGCTCAATATTTACAGTTTAAAGGTACAGTTTTAATTTCGGAAAAGAAGAAGGCGAACCTATTACCCTACATTTACGACGTGTTTTGGGGATTTTATAAAAATTTGCCCACCAACAGTAATAAAGAAACACATCCAGATATAGGGTCTTCGAACGATGTCGATTAGTTCGTACTTATAAATGTTTTTCTTTTGTTTTTTTAATTTAGCTATGTCAAAAAACTGAAATTCTCGTTTCTGTGTTTAGTTATTTAAATGTAACTAATGAGATGAGTACATTTCTGTTAAGTTCGTAAAGGGATATGCCCATTTTGTTTCTTAAATAATCATTTTTTGAATTTGGGTCCTGACATATAAAAGGAGCTATTTCTTACTAACCTACCGCTAAAATTTCAACGCTGTATTTACATACCCGATTTCAGAACAATACTTAAACTTTAAGTCGAACCACAGAGAATTCTAAAAAATAGACTTATCTCCTTCTTCCCTGGCACCACGGCATTGCTTTGAGATTATTGATATTCCTGCAAAGAACGCGTTGTTGTAAACTAGACTAGACAGTTTAAGAGGTAGGATATTCTAAACTTATATCTATCTTTGCAGGCCAGATAAATATTTTACAAACCTAAGAATGTTGCCGAAGGGGAATTGTACGCCAGGTACTCCTTATTGGAGGCCCAAGCTGGAAACTCGCTTTGTTGTACAGGTCCCGATCCTTCTTCCTCTCTTTTCCAAGGTAGCATCATTTCAGTTGCTGTAGGAGTTGTCACCCTCATCAGATCTCCCGCTGAAACCACTCTATTCGTGTATTTCAAAGAAAACTATACCCTATTTCATGAGTATCCATCACGCTTTGACATCTACTGAAGTGAACACCTGATCAGCAAGTGATATTTTTGTGTTAATCTGCGACGTTGGCAATAATGAATCGAATGTAAATCTGTTTTTTTGTATGCAAATAAACTTTTCAAGATAAAAGAGCTTTTATCAAGTACAAAATGAATCTGTAGCATACAAAAAACCAAAACAAAACATAGCTCCGTCAGCATTACGTGTCCTTTGCCGATATGGTGAATTTTGAAATATTACTAGATAATCAGCTGTCATTACACCGTGATGGATACTCGTAAAATAGAGTATAAGAATATGTCCTTTTATAGGAAATTCCGTCTGAAGGTAAAAGCGTTTTTCGGAGTTACGTATCAATGCCATACGAAATAAACAAATGCAAACAAATGAAAGTTCTTTTTCTAATTTTGCTTGCACAATGTCAAGACAATTGTAAATGAAGTTTTATGTACCTAGAACCAGGTCAACCCGTGTCGAGTTGGGTTGGAACATGTGAAAACGTGCATATTAGGCGCGCGGTAGCTACCGTATTGCAGTGCTCGTGTGTTCTATTAGTAAACGCACTGTTTTCGTTCAGTCAATATGTCGAAGGAATTACGCAGTTCTAAAAAGGGAATATTTTTAATAGGAGACGTAAAGCATTAAATTACCGGTTCAAAACTTCCCTCTAATGGACAAGTACTAGCAGTTTTATTTTATAATATCCGGGAAGTGGAAGAGATTTGCAAAAAAGTGCAAGCAAAACATAAGTGTTTAAGTAACGTCGACAAGAGCTTGTTACGAACTTGGACAATTTGTTTGATATTACGCATGCCGATGCCCTTCAATTGATGAAAATAAATGAAGATAGGATCTTCTTGCAGCGGCAGAGACAACCAGGTGGATGTGGTCATTTAGCTGGGCAGGACAAAAAATTAGCCATAAAAGAAGAAAATGCGCGTCTTGGGAACACTGAAGAACAAAAGCGGCGATCTAAATATGTTGCTTCCTTAACTGTTTCGACATCATTTTACGAACCAGTGCACGAAACGTTGCCCATCCCAATAATTAAACTCAAATAGGAAATGTTTCTTTACTCCAAAATTAGTGGCAGGATTAGACAGGTGAGAAATGCTGTTTTTATTATTGAAGCAATCATTGAGGCACTTGGACATAACACTGATCAGTTTTCTATAAGCGAGTCCTCCATTCAATGAATTCGTACCTAAACGCGAGGTACCGGATACTGTAACTATTCACTAGGATGGCACATTGCTGCCACCTTTGAATGCCCGCAAGTCTAAAGAAAAACATCCACCGATTGTTATAACGTATGAAAATAAAGAGCAACTTATCGCTGTGCCCAAATTGGATAACTAATCAGGATGTTTGGAATGCTATAATTGACTGGAACTTTGAAGATAAAGCTTAGATTCTCTGTTGTGATACTACTCCTTCAAATACGGGTCTCATTAACGGACCCACGTGCTTCTCGAACAGAAACTTAATTAATAAATGCATATTTTTGCTTGTCGCCATAACGTCTACGAATTCGTGTTAAAAGGCTCGTTTGAATCAGAGATCGACAAAGTGACTACAAGCCCTGACATTCCAAAGTTGAGGCCTGCATATTTCAGAGAGTGAAAAGCTGTTAGGATTTTATCGTCATGCATTGACCAAATAAGTTGCTAGAGATGACTATCAGAGAATCAATAGAACCTTCAATAATATTCCTCGGCGGAGATACAGAGAAAAAATTTAAGATTCGACTGTCAGGTGCTGTGCGTCAAGCTCGATGGATGGCCAGAGCAACCTATTTGTATAAATAGCGTCACTAAGTTCCCAGCTCAAACTTCCTGTAAGGATAGGCAGCTCTGTTAGATATCTGTCTGTTCATCGTGACAACATATGTGATGCCGTGGCTGCAAATGTACCTTAGCGGTAAAAACACCTAATCAGGATTTATGCTTTTTAAAGCCAATGACGGCTTACGAAAGAATTGAAAAACCTATTTCAAAAGCAGCTTTACAAACGTTTTGCCAACGTTTATGCTATTTGACAAATGAGGTCTCTGTCTAATCTCTGTTGCTAGTTTAGCCAAAGGAAGTCCATCAGCTCACGGTAAACGCTACATCCCATCGAAAGAAAAACTTTCTGGCCCACTTTATGGTAAGTCTGACGAATACATTTTCCTTTGCCTTCTTTTACTGCTTCGATATAATATGATAACTGTTAAAGCGATCAGCATAAACTGCGATTCTCGCAAAAGATGGCAACTTGTACTGTCTTGTTTTTGACAAAAAGCACAAAAAATGTCTGTGGTCGGACGGACACAACAAGGCACTTTCAATGTGCGAGGGATGTGTTCCTCCATTCCGACGTGGATAATTGCGCTTATCGAAGAACAGACAGTTGACGCATCCGCGTCAGTGAAGCAGACATCTCTCCAAGGAAAGGTAGAGAAGAAGTCTCTGAGCCCCTCCCAGTCGGCATGTCTGTAATGCCAAATTTTACGGCCTGTAAGAGTTTCCGCTGCCACAGGGGGTACGGACCGAAACCTAACCTCCACAACATCGGGGTCTGGGTTACCCACGGGGGACAGGACAGCAGTGATGTAAGGGACCGCGTGGTCAGAAAGAGATCCAGCAGGCTACTGGCATGTGACGAGACGCGGGGTAAAAAGGTAGGGCTCATCACCAGCTGAGTCAGCGGTTCAGTAAGAGCGAACGCTTCAACTGCACTACCTGCTGCATCGGTCTTGTTTGAGCCCAGCCAAAGCTCATTATGGGCATTGAAATCACCGAGGAGAACTACCTCTGAAGCGGGGTGATTGATGTTCAGGAAGTCGATCTTGACGACGAGATATTCAAGTAGGTCATCCCAGTTTTGGTTCGAGGGAGAGCGATCAAAACAGCAAATAAATTTGGCGCATGTTTTGGAGTTGAGGCGAAGCCACAGAATTTTTTTGCGGTCTGGTTGCAAAGAAACATCTCTGGAACAGGAAGGACTGCTGCTGACAAAAGCCACAACTCCCCCGTTCTTTTTCAGATTACAATGCACCCCGTAATTGGGAAGCTAAGATGGTTAATCGGTGCAGACTCTGACATGTTTGTCCCGCCAAGAACAACATGACGGGACGATTGGATTTCAAGTAGTGATAACAGGATCAATGTTGCTGTTAATCCCGCAGATGTTCGTGAAACAAAATTCATTTTCGATGTTATTCCCTCGAGCCCACCGTCCACCCGGCCATTCCGATCCTGCTGATAAGGTATAAAAAGAATTTTTATTACGTTGCCTACTAGAACCCAGGAACGGGACTGTGGAAAGAAAACTTTGGAGAGAAAATTTAGTAAATAATGTTCTTTTAATGATAAATATCCAAGAAATATAAGATACAAATAAAGCAATGTTTTATTTGTCGATTAAGTATTAGGTTTTGGAATCCATTCCCTATTATTTCATGAACCAGTTACAGAAAATCGAACAGAATATACAATTTACAGCCTAAAAAATAAAAAGGGTCCAGGTTTAGATGGCATACCATCAGAGGTACTCAAAAAAATTGCACCTGAAATTAGAAGACCACTTACATCTTTAACAAATTTGATAATTGAATCTGGGGTTTTCCCAGACCCTTACAAAACAGCGATTCATAAATCTAGCGACATATCTAATACCAGCAACTATAGACCAATAACATTAATATCTAATTTGGCAAAGATAGTTGAAAAAATCAGAAAGGCATTAGTTTTTTCAACAAAAATAAGCTTATACATGAAAATCAATTTGGATTAACAAAAAAATAAATCTACTCAGGAACTAGAGGAAACGCTCAAAACCTTATGAGAAGTTACCTGTTTTACAGAAAGCAATATGTTCAAATAAATGATTCCATAAGTTCAGAAAAAACTGAAACTTATATAGCAACTAATTTATTATTATTATGAGTTAAATTCAAGTACCTCACTAAATATTTAGACCATGAAAAAATGAAGATGTTATATCATGCTCTTATTGAATGTCGCCTAAATTATGCCATACTAGTTTGGGGTGGTGCTCTCACCAACCAAATTAAGAAGCTAGAAATAATCCAAAAACAAGTTTTGAAAATTATTTTTAAACGGCCAATTCTATATCCGTCTGATATGTTATATTCCGAAGAGAGACTACTCGATCTTAGACAACTCTTTGTTTTGATCAATTTATTCAAAAATAAAACAAACCTGATTTCATTGGACCACAAATATGAAACAAGAAGTAAAAACGAGGATATTATAAGAACACCATTTACAACAAAAAATGTAGGTCAAAGATGCTTCAGTTACCTCTCCACTAGATTTTATAACTTTTTACCAAGCCATATAAAATCCAATTCAAATAAAAATAGATTCAAAATTGAAATAAAAAAATTCTTGTCAAACAATAATATTAGTATTTGAATATAATATTATTTCACTTATCTTTATGGTTATGTTGTGTTTAAATTTATGTATTAACTGTATTTAACTGTTTTAAGCAAAAATTGTTATGAAAAATGTTTTCCCACGCACAAGAATTAAATTCTTATGTGGGATTATTTCAGTTTATTTGCGTATATATGCATATTTATTTTCAATAAACTATAATACCTTATACGTGAATAAACTTATTATATTCTTATTATTATTATCTTTCAAATTGAGCTCAACTTCTATAACGGAGAGGAGTTGTACTAAGCAAATCGATCTATAACGCAGTTGCTACTCTCTTTTGAAGTGCGTAATGAAGGACCATTGTTTTCATTCACTTCCTGGAAGTACTCCGATAAATGTAGCACAAATTGTCTAAATTGTCCAATAATATCATTTCCAGACAAAGTAAACGCAAATCGCATGCCCATGATAAGTGAGCTGTCATACTGGCAGTGGCAATCATATTCTTAGAAGACGCATACGTAACGAGAAAGTTTCCGAGGTAGTCAGACGAATCACCGCACAAATAACCACGTGTATGTTTGAGGAAAATAGAGATATGCAAATGATACCAGTAGCTTGACTCGTCAAAATTTTTGAAAAAACCTATATGTTTAATCCTACGAGTAGATACTTACCATCAATGGAACCTCTAGACATGCGTTTTCCTGGATCAGAGAAAATGCTTTCATCTGTAACTAAAGGGATAGGTTGATGAGTATGACTAGGATCTACAGGTCTACTCATACGAAAGAAGTTAATAACATTCACGTTAAAGCATACTCTACAAATAGAAAGCTGTGAAATTTGTGCCAGAATTATCCAAACCACAAAATCTGATCTCTTCATTTATTGTAACATTTCCATGCCTACTCACGAATAACGGCCAGGAAGAATGGAGGATCATCACGATTATCGGTTTCACGGGATTTTGAAAAACTCTACCGCCCACATTACCCAGGTGGTTTAGGTGGCTTAGGCCCGTATTGTCAGTCGTCCCTACAATTGTAGGGCGCGTTTATGGCCTCCTTGATTGTCGTCCTTCTTTCTCTCCTTCAAAAATTTCTAGATTACACTTGTCCCTTGTCAGCGTCAGCGCTCTCCTATTGTGAAGATATGTTTTCTTTTTAAATTGTAGGAAATTTCAGGCTGATAAAACATGATATAACTCAAAAGCAAGCAGAATTTGATGCAAATAGTTGTGACATAACCTCAAAATAGAGTTCTGACACGGAGAAGCAGAAAACTATGACAATCAAGGAGGCCATAAAGGCGCCCTACAATTATAGGGTGCGTGTATGGTCACCTTGATTGTCATACGCCTTTCTCTCCTTCAAAAATTTCTAGATTACACTTGTCCCGTGTCAGCGTCAGCGCTCTCCTATTGTGAAGATATGTTTACTTTTTAAATTGTAGGAACTTTCAGGCTGATGAAACATGATATAACTCAAAAGCAAGCACAATTTGATGCAAATAGATGTTTGTGACATAACCCCAAACTAGAGTTCTGACACGGAGAAGTAGAAAACTATGACAATCAAGGAGGCCATAAAGGCGCCCTACAATTGTAGGGACGACTGACGATACGGGCCTTAGTTATAGAAGCATAAAATCGATTGTCACATTGTCAATCTACTATTATACTTGATGTGATTTTTTCCATGCTGGTTAAATATGGAATAGTGCAAGCAAACTTAATTTTCATTACCATGCAGTCAGCTTAACGTTTCAATTCATCCAATAAAAAATATCCGTGAAGAAATGCATCCTTGTATGTAGTTTGTTCAAAGTAACAAATAACATGCTGCAGTATACATAAAATCACTGTGATCTCAAACGATACAAAAATAATTTTACAACTTTCAACAAGTTTGTCAATTTACGTGAATGGGCTTGAAGGATATACGTTTGCGGACACTTTCACCATATTTTAGTATCTCAATGTTCAGTCAGCATATCTATTATCCCAACTGCATAAAAAATACGCTGAACTTTTGGACAAATTTTTATACCCTTAAAAGCTCGGCACACGATTCGAGTCGCTGTCACATCGTATGATGCAACTGACACATTTACATTTACAAGTCGTGACCAAAAATGAAACATCATACGCAGGACCGCATTTTAAGGGTGTCTTCTATATAACATTTTTTCCTCGAGGGCTTCATTGAAAAGATGGAAGTTTAAAAATAAAAAACATTTTTTTTTAATATCTTCAAAACCGTCAACTGGAATGAACTAAAATTTGGTATGTGGATTTGCCTAAGTATTGTTGTCATTCAAAAGTTTTTACTCAAGATTAACGTGCATCAGCGGCAGAGATACAGAGCATAGTGGTATTATTATGATGTTTCATTTTTGGTCACGACTTGTGAATCACCCAGTATACTCTTTTTTGGCAGTTGAAGTGAAAGTCACTTGCCTGGATACTATGTTATTTTCCTCCTACCGTTAGTTCATTCCGCTCCCACTACAAGTGAGTCTCAAGTGAATGTCAGCTGGTTTAAAGGTGACATTTTATGGGAAAACCTACATATGTAATTTTAAAAAATCTACTTAATGTCATCAAAATCAATAAAATGACTCTTTTAAGTTGCGTAATATGGGCGATGAAGTTGTCTGATATAATGTGATTCACTCGTAAAGTAATATGTAGTATTTTTTCTAACTAAAACTGTGCTACACGATACAGGATAAATTAGTAAGTAAAAATAGCTAAACATGGTATTTACATTTAAATACATTTCCACTAGTGTTTTTTTATTATAATCCCGTTTCATGAATCGACAGGGAATTTTCCATTTACATTGCAATTTTCCTATCAATTTCTGTTGAATAAATACAAACAAAACAAAATGCACCCCATAGAGTTTTAACTTGTTACGTAAATATACCAGCTGCTTATCCATCTAACGCTTTCCATGTTTTTCATTGGAATTGTAGTGCCGTAGCATCGCTATTGCACAGACACGTACGTCATTGACGACTATCGGATATTTATTGGGATTCCGGGTTATAAGCGGCACTAGTCTGCTAATCTATTGCCCTGTGAGTCTCTCCTCGTAGTTCTGTTATATAAATCTGATATTACAATAGCTATTAGATGGGTGTTCTGTAGAACAGGACTTCATCTTCTGTATCTATTTTTGTAATTAATTAATACTACTAAAATATGGTTTATTTCACTAATAACCTGAGAAATCGCCGTTCTTCTCGTAGAGAAAGAATGATAATGAAAAAGTTCCTAGGTGAATGACGAATATATACGTATATACCTTTGGCCTGTTGTCTCTGCATTTAGACCGTTTATTCATTTTTGCTTCCTATGCAAAAACTGACGAGAATGTAGTGTAATCGCGAAATTGAGATATTGTTATTTGGATGTTTTATGACATGAACATCACTAAAAACCACATCATTCATTTCCGTCGATCTGTCTGTCGGTCTATACGCTAATTTCATAACCACCTATAAGTTCAGAAGAACGGATCGAATTTTGATGAAATTTTCACACCAGGTTACTACTATGCCAAGGATGGAAGAGCTTTGTAGTTTTTGAAAATCGGTCTAGTAGTGGCTCAGCTAGGGACAAAAACACAAAAAATCGCTTTAGCTTCGTTTTTTGACGTTTCAGAGACTCCTGATCATTTTCCGAAATCCTTTTGTAGGGGTTGAACTTTGGTGTTATGGTTGTACTGGGTAGGGGGTTGTAAATGTCACGTCTTTATTATTCGTCAAAGATGTTCTTTCATTGAGAAGCTTCTAACCCGGTAACAAGAACATCAAATTAAGTCCGATGCATCACGTGCACATAATTCGAAATAACTCGGCTAACGTAGGCGTTGCGGTGCATGGAGCGATGCTGCATCGTCGTGAAGGCCACTGCCGACTGTGCAATAGGTAACAAAATCCAGTGGTCTGCGGTGGTGTCGTTACTGACACCGCTGTGGGAGAAATATGTATATGGTTTATCAATATTTGGATATTAGTAGTGCTTGTCAATTTAGCATTCTGCGATGCTTTTGTAAATAATCACTTAAATGTTTTTACATCTATACATACATATATTTTTCTGAATTTTATGATGCTTAAATGTACTACCCATTCCGCTTAACCTTTATTATTATTATTATTATTTGTGTTACTCTGTCTACGATGGTTCTCTGAATATTCCGTCAAGAAGATTGACTTGGGCACTGAAGTTCGAATATTATCACGAGTTAAATACTTGCATCGTTTAATCGTTTAGTTAGTCGTAGATTTTGAAAATTCATTCAGAGGCGGTTGAAATAAAATCGATGGAGCATAGTGTTACAACGGTTCAGAGATTCCTCCTTGTTTTCAGATGTTATTTGGAGGGGATTTAAATTGGTAGGTTGGAAGCTGTATGCGGTAAATGGTTGTAAATTGTTGCATATTTGGTGTCAGTAAAAGGTACCTTCTATTTTTAAAAAGCTGCTGATCTCAGTGATACTATGCACCTGTTAGACGTAATAAGATTCACATATTTTCCCTAAATCTGCCTTGGAAATAGAAATAAGATAGATTTGATTTGTACAGTTTGATATGCATAAGTCAAAGATTCATCTTTTCTAAGTAAACCTACCTAACTACGATTCCATTTAATCTTTTGAAACGACTTGACTCATCGCTTTTCTTTGAAACCTCTAACGAAGGAGTAGGAAATATAGAGCCGATCCACTTGAGGACACTTTTAATATTAGTAATAATTACATTATTGCTTACTACCGGTAAATACTATTTTGTAATTGAAATAAACTGAAGCATTTGGAAATGAGTAGGAAACGAATAATGTGTCGACGTACATAGCATCTCCGATATTTGTCAGCTGTGTCCCCCTCCTACGCATCTTGCTGTGCTCGATTCGCCCAGTGTTGTAGGACGTTCGGAAAATTCGTGGATATGCCATATATCAAATCCTAATCAACATAAATATGATAATATTATAGTTCTATACAAACATACAGGAAGACAAAAATTTGTTTACAGTGGAACTTAATTAATTGTTGAAATTTTCAAGAAACTGACAAACGGCATGACCTTTTATCAATTATCCTAAGCATTTACATTTATTTTTAATTTGGTTATATATATACCGGGTGGCCCATCCATATGTGGACAGAATATTACTCATAACTACATTTTGGCATACACTATTCATGGCACGTTATACATGACATTTGGGGGTACACTTCTGAAATATTGACAATTATACCGGGTTTCCCAATTTTGACCTATATAACAAAGTTGGTCAAAAACGCGAATTGTACTTTTTCTCAATAATTGCAAATGCATCACCCTGTATATTAGTGAAAGTATGAATTCAACTTCTTTAAGCTTTTTTGTATAAGGTTTGATTTAGATAATATCACTAGATTATGAGTTATTAAGCTTTTAATAGAACAACACACCAAAATTAAGGAAAAAAATCGCATCATCCTTGGAAACAAAAGACAAACAGTAGGCTAGGTCCATATTGCCACTAAGAGTACAGATTTGACGTAAAACCTAATAACAATCATAACAGTATGAATCAACTTCAGAACTTCTGTCCAAAGGATTATTCACAAGCATAGGGACCATCCATATCTCCTATGCTGGCATCAAGGCCTTCGTCCTCAGGATTTCGCAGCTCGAATGGAGTTTAGTAGAATAATGCTAAGTAAAGTGAGTGAAG